TGCGTACTGGCCTATCCTCACACAGTTTCAGGTCATCAAATGCACAAACAAGCGTCACGTGCTGAGTAGTTGTGCGAACGAGATTAAACAAGTTCCTATGGCAATGTACTGTATTGAACTACCTGAATAGGCTAAGAAATGGTGCTAAAACAAACAACCAGACGATGAAACAGTGACATGTTGCGTACTAGCCTATCCTTGCGTAGTTTCAGGTCATCGAACGCACAAACAAGCGTTACGTGCTGCGTAGTTGTGCGAATGAGTTCAAAAACGCTCCTATGGCAAGGTAATTGATTTAAATACCTGAATGTGTGAAGAAATGGTGCTAAAAAAAACAACCAGATGAGGAAACGGTGACATGTTGCGTGCTAGCCTATCTTTGCGTAGTTTCAGGCCGTCGAACGCACAAACAAGCGTCACGTGCTGCGTAGTTGTACGAATGAGTTCAAACAAGTTCCTATGGCAAGGTAATTAATTGAACTACCTGAATTTGTTAAGAACTGGTGCTAAACAAAACAACCAGACGATGAAACGGTGACATGTTGCGTACTAGCCTATCCTTGCGTAGTTTCAGGTCATCGAACACACAAACAAGCGTCACGTGCTGCGTAGTTGTGCGAATGAGTTCAAACAAGTTCCTAAGGCAAGGTAATTGATTGAAATACCTGAATGTGTGAAGAAATGGTGCTAAAAAAAACAACCAGATGATGAAACGGTGACATGCTGCGTACTAGCCTATCCTTGCGTAGTTTCAGGTCATCGAACGCACAAACAAGCGTCACGTGCTGCGTAGTTGTGCGAATGAGTTCAAACAAGTTCCTACGGCAAGTTAATTGATTGAAAGATCTGAATGTGTGAAGAAATGGTGCTAAACATTACAACCAGACGATGAAACGGTGACATGTTGCGTACTAGCCTATCCTTGCGTAGTTTCAGGCCGTCGAACGCACAAACAAGTGTCACGTGCTGCGTAGTTGTGCGAATGAGTTCAAACAAGTTCCTATGGCAAGGTAATTGATTTAAATACCTGAATGTGTGAAGAAATGGTGCTAAAAAAAAAAACCAGACGATGAAACGGTGACATGTTGCGTACTAGCCTATCCTTGCGTAGTTTCAGGCCATCGAACGCACAAACAAGCGACACGTGCTGCGTAGTTGTGCGAGTGAGTTCAAACAAGTTCCTATGGCAAGGTAATTGATTGAAATACCTGAATGTGTGAATAAATGGTGCTAAAAAAAACAACCAGACGATGAAACGGTGGCATGTTGCGTACTGGCGTATCCTTGCGTCGTTTTAGGCCATCGAACGCACAAACAAGCGTCACGTGCTGCGTAGTTGTGCGAATTAGTTCAACCAATTTCCTATGGCAAGATAATTGATTGAACTACCTGAATGTGTGAAGAAATGGTGCTAAAAAGGACAAACGGACGATGAAACGGTGACAGGTTGTGCACTAGCATATCATTGCGCATTTTCAGGCCATCGAACGCACAACCAAGCGTCACGTGCTGCGTAGTTCTGTGAATGAGTTCAAACCGGTTCCTATGGCAAGGTATTTGATTGAACTACCTGAATATGTGAATAAATGGAGGTAAAAACCCTAATCAAGCGATGAAACGGTGACATGTTGAGTACTGGCCTATCCTTTCACACGCGATAGGTTCGCTTGATGAATACTGACATCACACACACGCACACGAATATATAAACATGTTTATGTCTATATTTACGTTTATACCTCTACATATGCTATTCTCGAGTTACTGCTGATTCTTTCTAGTATTTCTCGAAATAGTGACAATTCGAACAAAACATACTGTATGCAGGATTATTATGCATAAGACTAACAATTTGTAATAGCCGGGTTTTTGTGAGAGTCTGTCGGATTTAGTCTCAATAGTTTCACATACATTTACGTAGCTCAATGTTTTTCTATACACACTAATTTCACTTCTTAAAGTGGTTGCAAATAATATATCAAAACAAATCCATAAGCTCGTGTGAATCAAACGCCATCGGATGACGTGGCAAAATAGAATCGCCAGCTCGAGACGATAGAGAGTGACCTGTTCAATTTGAGCCTGGCGAAATCCACAGCATTCCGCAGCTCTCTACCTGATCGAGTGTCCCAGCCAAGCATCGTAACGTTTACGCCAGTAAACTCCCACATTCTTGCAGCCTCGAAACTGCCGTTTTCTCCTGGAAGTCCAGAACTCCTTCAATCACGGAAACCTGCCACAACAGACAACAAACGTCGGTTTACCCCGCATCCGAACTCACAACTCTTCCCTTACAGTAAACGGCCAATTACAGGGCACCCGACAAGCCCAAAAAAAAGCTAAGTACTCGCCCCCCAGTTTTCGGCAGATTGACAATTTTCTGATGGGGTCAAAACAAGGGTGTTATTTGGCGCAGCGGAGTGCCCTTAACACAACCCACAGGCGTTACACTCGTCCCCCCCTGGTGCCAACGTCCCCGTTGGCCTCGGACTTCAGGGAGTCGGCCCCCTGCCGCTGGGACCTAGATTTCAGGATCGTTCACTGGGTTTGAGCTGGTAACCACACTTCACCATAGGTGGAAAGTGTGGACCAGCCGGGACTCGGACCCTAGGCTCTGATACCGGTATAACACTCCGCTACCCACTGGGTCAAAACGAGGGTGTTATTTGGCGCAGCGGAGTGCCCTTAACACAGCCCACAGGCGTTACACAAAGAGATTGCGGAGGAGAACTTGTCCCATTTCGGGGAGCCCGCCGCTGATGTTATCATCAGACGTAAGTGGTCACGAGAATCAGGTTCTCTTCATAAGTACGGTGCAGCTAACACACGCCCGATGAGAGGCCCACAGCGTGACGAGGACGAGGAGGAGGGGGACGAGGGGGAGGAGGAAGAAGGCGAGGAGGATGAGGAGGAGGAGTTGGCTGATAAGCTGCACATCTGCAGTATCCTCTTCGATTTTAACGACCCCAGGGAAAACGAGGAGGATAAGGAATATAAGCGGCAGACTCTCATCGAGCTAGTCGACTACGTCAATTGCGGGACCATGAAATTCAACGAGGCGGTATTCAAAGACATCACGCGCATGCTGGAGATTAATCTCTTCCAGCCGTTACCGCCGTCCGCGCCCGCGATGTCCAAGTCGGAACCTAAGAACCCGAAGGAAGAGGATCCGACTATGGAAGCCGCGTGGTCGCACCTGCAAATAGTCTACGAGCTGCTTAAGTATGTCGTCTCTAACAAGACCAACCAGAGGCTAAAGCTTTTCATCGACCAGCAGTTCATATTAAAGCTGCTGAACCTGTTCGACTCAGAGGACCCTCGCTAGCGGGACTATTTGAAGAGCATTTTACACCAGATTTACTTAATATTCTGTTGAGTGCAATACATCGTTTGCACGACAACCTACCGCCTATTTGTCGACGTTGAGTGAAAGTGAGGTGTTTGTTCTGAAGGTAATTTGTTATGTGCGAGTTGCGCTTTTTCGTGAGTTGCGTTTCTGTGTTTACGGCTCGTGAATCGCCTCAACGGTTCATGAGTTATGTGAGTTTTCGTGAAAGGTTGCATTCCTGAGTGTTCGTGAATGTCTGTGTGTGAATGCGAGACTTCGTGTGCGTTCGCGTTGCTTCACGAGTTCTCATAAGTGTGCGTTGGTTTTATGTTTGTGAATTTCTGTGTTCGTGATTGTGTTCGTGAAATTCCGTGATGTTTGTGCTTGGTTCATGAATGTTTGTGAGCGTTTATGTTAGTCTTCGTTTTTCTGTTTTCGTTTGTGTTCGTGAAGAGTCGCGAGTGTTTGCGAGATAATTTCGTGGTGGTCAAGGTCAAGGGCGCGAGAATCTTGACCGCGCGTGTGGTCTAGATTTTGCGCGTGGGCCCTCAGGGCCCGAGCGTGTGACTCGCAACTGTTGCGAGCGTGTGGCTCGGTACTGTTGCGCGAGGGCACAAGGCCCATGATCGCAGCAGACAGCCAACGTCAGTGCACTGTAGAGTACGACCGAAAATATCGGTCGTGCTATGATTGTGCCGGCAGGGGCGCGCGTGTTTTTCAGGGTGGTGCTGCGGGATTCCGAGGGGTACTCGGGTTTGACTCGGGTTTGACTCGAGATTTCAGTTAAACAACTGAATCTCAAGCCTCGTCTTTTACTGTACGTGGCACACAGAAATTTCGCGGGAAAGCACCGCGCGTAAAATGGATAATTTCGGTACAGGGGAAAAACGGTGAAATCCGTTTTCCAACTGTAAGCGTTTGTGAAAACGGTAATCCCACACGACTCTTCATAATTAGTCATCCGAATTCGTGAATGCTCGTGAGAGGAGTCAGCAGGGGCGTTTGGCAGATATGAACTTTGAAGACAGTTATTATACAGAGGCGAATCAAGCCAAAATCGACGGGGGTTTGACAACCGTTTTCAAGGACAAACTGGCGAAGTCTTGAAGTCTAGTTAAACAACTGCTTTGTGCTTTCCTATGCTTGTGTGTTAGTCGAAATATAAAATGCGTGCTTGTGCTTGATTGTCATCAATCCTTTGAGTGAAGTTTTTCTCTATCATCGTATTGACATGAAGAGAACTTTCTGCACACGACCAGTTCGTCGTCACAACGGTGCGCAATGAGTTTTGGGAATGCTCTAATGCACGCGATTGTTTTCATACTTAGCGCGTCCCTCGACATAACACGGACCCTTGGATATGGGCTGGCCTTGCCAGGCACCCAAGGACCCTTGGAGGTGACCCCGTGGGGACTGTTAAGTGTGAATTAAAGGTGTGCTTACTAGCCTCTAGATCCCAATAGTAGTCAACATATTCATGGATCACCAGCAGTTCATCCGCAAGGCGATTAACGCCATCTTCGACCAATTCATCGAGTTGGAGCGGCACAACGGCATTGCGGAGCTTCTGGAGATTCTAGGGAGTATTATTAACGGGTTCGCGCTGCCGCATAAGGAGGACCATAAGTTGTTCCTGGTCCGCGCGCTGGTTTCGCTGCACAAGCCTAAGTGCATGTCGATGTACCACCAGTTTGTGGAAAAAGACCCGAAGCTCGCGGATTTGGTGCTGCGCGGGTTGCTTAAGTTCTGGCCCTTAACTAACAGCCAGAACGAGCTGCTTTTCCTGGAGGAGTTGGAGGAGATTCTGGAGCTCACTAAGGCGCCGGAGTTTGAGACAGTCATGACGTCGCTGCTCCAGCAGATCGCGCGCTGCCTCAGCTGGCACTTCCACGTACTATGGTATAGGGGTTGTCCGGGTGTGATGCGGTTCGTGGTATGTGATGGTGGTCGGGTTTGGGAGGGTGTGCGAGGGAGGTGTGAGGAGGTGTAAAGAGGTATGAGTGGGTGTCATGGCATGCATTTTCATATACCGCTGGTCATCATGATGGTCATGATGCCCATGATGGTCATGATGATCATGATGGTCATGATGGTCCTGATGCACCTGTTCCAGCAGATTGCACGCTGTCACAGCTTCTCGCACGAAGCTCCTGCTAATTACAGGTACGGTGTGATGCGGTATAATTTGGTGCGCTGGGTTGCGATGCATCCTTGCTGAAGTGAGGTCGAGGCACTGGTGTTCCGGCACAGGATACGGGTTGTGACAGGGATAAAAGGGGCGTGATACGGTGATGCGGTGTGAGGAGGTGTGATGGGGTGTGAGGGGGTGGAGCACTTCGCGCTAGCTTCCTTCCAAGCTCCAGACATGCGCTCCCTGGAGCATGATGCTCGCATGATGCCGCTGATCTGGCATGCGATGCCTACAACACTCTCGCCAGCATGTTTCTGAGATTCACAAGCTTATATGATTCGGCTTTGATTCTTCAATACGCTAGTATTGTATGGCATTCCAAGTTTTGAGGGGGGGTGGGAGGGGAAAAGAGAGGTAGGGGGGTAAGCATTCTTAGAAAAAAAAACGGATTGCGGCCAGAGCTGGGATAAAGAGAGTGGGATCGTCTTTTTTTGCTGTCTTTAATGGGTGCGACATTAGGGTTTGGCCGATGCGAGTGTGACGTGTCATGTGACGCCACCGGTGAACCCTACCTTTGGCCCACTTATGCCACATTTCTCATCCCATGCGCCATATATGCACCCCGTCACCCCTCCACCTCCCCCTTCTCCGCCTCATTCCCCTTTCCCCAATGCATGTGTTGGATGGAGAGAACGCTGTGCCTGTGTAACAACGGCTGCACCATGATGTTTGTGGTGCACAACGGTTGTGTCTCTCCCTCCTTCCTCCCCCCACTCCTCCCCCTCCACCCCCCAAACCCCATTTTTCTCCTGCCTTCAGGTGGCAGAGCGCACACTGCGCCTGTGGGACAACAACTACATCGTGGCGCTCGTGGCTCAGAACTGCACCACCATCCTGCCGCTCATCTTTGCTGCTCTTGAGCGCAACGCCGAAAGCCACCAGAACCAGGTATAGTGTGGGCATTGAGCCCTGTGTAGTGCGTGGATTGCTTCTAAAGTGTGGCTGTGGCTAGACATGAGACGAAATCGGAACCGCGGTTGGTTCGGTTCGCTTATAGGTGATCCGAACCGTGATTTTGGGGCCGCGGTTCGTGAACGGGCCGAACCAATTCGTAACGAACCGGTTCGCCGAATTGTTATAGTACGTGACCATCCCGAGTCGCGCCGAACCGAACCGGTTCGTCATGGTAGGGGATCGTAAACAAACCCCCCCGGTTCGTTTCAGGGCCCCGCATGACTTGATTCGCACGGGGTCGTTTTCCCAACTCGAAGTCTTGAGCTCCAACTCTTTCCTAGTCTAGATTGCCACCTCTCGCTTAGCTCCCCAGCATTCCCACGGCTTTTTCCTGAGCAGCAAGTAGCAGGTATTTTATTTACGTTATTTAGTGAGAATTACGCTGAATATGGCCGCTTTTCTTTGTACGTTTAGTATTTAGAGTGATGTCTCACCTTCAGTCCATGGTTTATAGGATTAAGGTTGATTTCACAAACATGACCAGAAATTGGTTTGTTTAGTAAACCTCGTCCACGTTCCGCTATCCCCATATACAACGCAACATTCAAGTCAACGTACACACGTAAATTAGATTGGGGCGTTCAGTTCAGAGTGATTATTGAGGAGGTTTCTTGCTGGAATGGAGGCCGCCGGTGATGTTCGGGGTGGGAATAGGAGTTACGAACAAATCAGCCATTAACGTGTAGCGAACCGAACCGGTTCGATTCGGTACCAAATTGGGCCGGTTCGTTACATGAAACAACGAACCACGAACCCAGGTGCCAGAATCCGGTTCGTAATCGAAAAGGTTCGGTTCGGTTTCGAACCGGCCCGGTTTGCTAATGCATATTACCAAACCGAACCAGTTCAGTACTGTGCTCTTGTTTGGCTGTGGCTGTAGCACTGACTGCCTATGGCTGTAGCAGGGACTGAAGCCAGGTAGATTGTGGCTAATGGTTGTAGTGCTGATTGTTTCTGAATTGAAACGAGTGGTGGTCTGAGAGGGAAATTGCAGGTGCAGTGTGTATAGGCTGTTTGCACAGGCTGTCTGTAGCACACGCTATAACCACTGGAATCATGTTGCATTGAGCCCGTTCTAGTGACCAGCTTTCCTCTGAAACACGCAACGGCATAAGTGATTCACGGCACAATGTTTCTTGCAGCTGCAGGTATGGGATGAGTTGGGCCATGGCTAATGCACAGAATGAAGCCACTGGAACCAGACAGGGCAGCAGTTGCTGTAGGCATGAGCAGAGGAGTCAAGTCTTGATACCACAATGAATCTCCTACTCGATTCGACTTGACATGTTGGGGTTTATGCATTGCTGTATCATCAGTCGAGGGCAAGTCAGTGAGTTGTTTGACTTTTTTTGAGCTGTGATGACTTGAGCTGACAAGCAAAACTGGCCCCAATAGCTCGATCAGTTTCCTGCGTTTAATTCCCAGGGGGAATCTTTCCCATGTTGTCCTCAATAATACGGCCAACCATAACCCGTTATTTGCCACTAACCTAACTCCTCATATCAGGTGTGGGTGTTTTTGTTTTGTTTTTGTTTCTCGGCTGAGAAAGCCTCCACCTGACCGGCTAGATTACGAGACCTAAACGACATTGCCCACCCAAGGTTCCTTCATTTCCTCAACCTCCTTGTGCACTTTTAGCTTCATCCCCTGAGGTTACTGGGGCTTTCTTGGCCTGTGCCTGCGACGTTCTTCATTACTTCATCATCCTGCCACCACTATGGTTGTTAACGTGTAAGGTCATTTTGACCTTGTGCATGCGTGTCCTTGTCAACTTAACCCCCTCCCATAGCACCTCCGTTTGCTTCTCCTACATATCCCCACTTCTTCTCCCTCTTCCGTCCCGAATCCCCGCCTCTTCTCCGTCCGTCCTCTCACGCTCTGCTCACCCTCCCCTCTCCTCCCCTCTCTATCCTCTTCTCCTCCTTCTCCTTTCACCCTCTTCTCTCTCCTCTCTCTCCTCTCCCCCTCCTCTCCTCCGCCACTCTCATTCATCTTCCCCTCCCTCCCATCCCCGCGATGCGCATACTATGAATGGAGAGATGTTTCTGGATATGGACAAGTGGCCAGAGATGCTTATGATGAATGCCAGCAACAAATCCTCCCCTGGCCAATGCATGAGTGCTGTGGTGCCTTTGACACGCCTAAAAAATCGATGCATGCATGATGCTCTCCCTCCTCTCCCCTCACCCACTCCCCCTCCTCTGCTCTCCTCCATATTTCCACGTCTCTCCTCTCTCCAAGACCACTTTCCCCCCTCACTCTCCCCATTCCACACACCCTCCGCACTCGTTTCTGCCCAGGTAGTGAAAGATCTGTCCATCAGAGTTCGTAAGATGTTTCTCGAAATGGGCGAGATGGTCACGATGGCTGCAATGGCCGCGATGGCCGAGGAGGACGCGAAGGCCGAGGAGGACGAGAAGGGCGAGGAGGGCGAGGAGGATGAGGAGGGCGAGGAGGATGAGGAGGGCGAGGAGGATGAGGAGGGCGAGGAGGATGAGGAGGGCGAGGAGGATGAGGAGGGCGAGGAGGATGAGGGCGAGGAGCTCTACGTCGATAATCAGCGCCAGTTCCTAAAAGAAGAGTGTGCGAGAATGAGATTTAATTATTCATTAAGCTCGAATGAGCTGAGGTATTCATAGGTAGTGAGAGAAGATGTGGGTTGGCGTGTTCAACAATAACAAGAGGCCCCAATAATGGTTGGTTAAGTTGGCCGACATTATTGCGGTTCCAATAGTTGTTCACTGGGTGTTGACCAACATTATTGGACGTCCAATAAGTGTTGGGAAACCCAACACAAGCGCAAATTGTGCTTGGAAGGTAAACCCGACAACCCATTAGCAACCGTACCTCACAACCTATCTAGCCAATGTATGTTGTATAACAAATGTTACTACAGAGGGGCGGAAAGATGACGTGGAGGAAATACGCGCTGCCACGTGGCAGCGGCTGGAAGAAGAAGCTGGCGATTAGAATTACTGCACAGTTACCAGGAAAGGCGGAGGCTCGTTGCTTGACCCAAGAAGGGTACGGGTCCAGTCTGCTAGTCCGACCCGACCGAGTTGTTGCTTGATTCAGGACAGGTACGGGTCCGGTCGGCTCGTCCGACCTGACCCGTTGCTTGACCCAAGACGAGTACGGGTCCGGTCATATCGACCCGCCCTCGGGGAAGGACCCCGGAAAAGCTGGCCCGACCTCGGGGTAGGTAGGACCCCCGGAAAGGTGACCCGACCTCGGGGTAGGACCCCCGGAAAAGCCGTGACTTGAGGGGGGGTTGGGTCGACCCGGTGACAAATTGAGTCGATCAACCCGCCTTATTTAATCATTTGGTGGCCAATCTCTTCAGATCGTAGCATTTCAATAGCTGATTTGCGCAGATTATCAACATAATCCCAATGTGGCAACATGATCCCAATGTGGCAACATAATCCCAATGTGGCAACATGATCCCAATGTGGCAACATGATCCCAATGTGACAACATGATCCCAATGTGGCAACATGATCCCAATGTGGCAACATGATCCCAATGTGGCAACATGATCCCAATGTGGCAACATGATCCCAATATGGCAACATGATCTCAATGTGGCAACAAAATTTCCCTGAAAAATGGTGGCTGGTGGCCCACTAACTAGAATAAGTGGGATGGGTATTTCCAAGCCCCTTACCTGCTCTATATCTTTAGTCTCTCTCTTCCCCACTGTTGTGTTCCTTTACAGAGCTCGTCGTGAGGAGGAAGTGTCAACGGGAGTGTTGTTTGGCCCCGTCCTCGCTTGTGGAGCCGACCTTGTGGTCGGGTGTGCGGGGGTTGCAGCCGACCTGCAGCAGTAGGCACGGGGGCCACTGCAAGGGCGCCGAGCTGGAGGGCGCCTCACTGGAGGGCGCCGAGCAGGAGGACGCCGCCCTGGACGCCTGGTGGGCGTCCTGGACGCCTGGACGGCGTCCTCGGAGCTGGACGCCGACCTGGGCGTCGGTACGACCTCTCGGGCGCCTGGTCGACGTCATGGGCGCCTGCACGGCGTCCTTGGAGGCCAGACGCCGACCTGGGTGCCTGGTTGGCGTACTGGGAGGCTGGACGCCGCTCTAGAGGTCTGCACGGTGTCCTGGGCGCCTGGACGCCGACGTGGGTGTTTGGACGGTGTTTTGGACGCCTAGATGCGGAACTGGAGACGCCGGGCATGTGTGGCCGGGCTACAGACTGCGTTGGTCGACCAGACGTGGTTGCCTGGTCGACCGGGATACCTAGGCGACAAACGCGAGTGTCGCCAGGGTGGAGTCTGCGAGGCCGACCTCGAGGGTGGTATCCGGAGGTCGACGTGGCTGGTGGGTTCAGTCGTCGGCGTGGATCCGACCTGGACGTCAGCGCTGTGCTCGTGACAAGGCACGGAGCACCAATCAGCTGCGCGCACCTGCGAAGCAGGTGCACCGTTGTCCTGCGGGTGCAACGCTGTGCAGCCGACTTGCTGCAGCGTTGGCATCTCGTGGACTTGCAACGTTGGTGCATCGCTACTCTGCAGCGCTGGAGCGGTGCGAGCGATGCTGCGCTGGAGCGCGGTCGACCATGCTGCGCTGGAGCTCTGATGTAGTCAGTGTTGCCAATGTTGTTGTATCCATTGTACATCCTGCAGGACGAGGCCATGCAGGAGGCAGAGCGGTCGCAGGAGCTCCTGGCGCAGGCGAACTTCGTCGCCCCGGCGAAGCACGGTGGCCGACCGGGGCAGCGCGGGCAGTCAGGCGGTGGTAGTAGCGGTGGCTGGAAGCCGAGCAAGGACAGCGACAAGACGAAGTCGGCCAAGGATAGCGGTCGTGGAGGAGGAGGCCGACGCCGGGAATGCTGGCTGTGCGGCGACCCCGACCACCTCTCCTTCGAGTGCCCCAACCGCAGTGACCCCGACGACGATGACGCCAAGGGAGGCCGAGGAAGGTCTGGCAGCCGTCGTCCTCGTTGAGGTGGAAACAAGCCGCGCAAGGAGAAGCAGTCGACGACGTCGACCTCGGCGAAGGACGCCGACTCCTCTGATGGCGGTAAAGGGGGGAAAACCAAGGCGGCGTCGTGCTCGCTGGTCGGCGTCGTGGAGCCGACCGTCTCGCTGGCGCCGGAGGCCGGTGAGGACTTCCAGGCGGTGGCAGTAGCTATGCAGGCGAACCCGGCGGTGGTCCTGCTTGAGAGCGGCTGCTCGCACCACCTGATGGGGACGAAGGAGGCCTTCGTCGACTTGGGGCCGAGCGGCGACGTGAAGCATGTGCGCGGCTTCAATGGGGCGCTGCAGGACGTTCAGGGACGCGGCACTATCGCTCTGCAAGGGGAAGCCGGGAAGCAGGTGCTCATCCCCGACGTGCTCTACGTCCCGGGTGTGCGGGCGAACCTGCTTTCGGCCGGCCAGCTGAAGGAGCACGGCGTGAAGCTGCAGGAGGACGGCGACGGGATGCTGCTCATCTTGACGGTGGGTGTTGACGACAAAGTACCACGCCGACGACACTGCGAGCGAGAGAAGGCGAGGCTGGTCGTGAAGGGCTTCACGCAGGTGTACGGCGCCGACTATGACGAGACGTTCGCGCCGGTGGGCAGCTACGTTACGCTGAGGATCTTCCTCAGCATCGTCGCCGTGCTCAACCTCAACCTGATGCAGCTCGACATGAAGAACGCCTTCCTGCAGAGCAAGCCCGACCGGGTGCTGTACATGCACCAGCTGTCAGAATGTAATTGTATACATTACTTTATAATTGCCTGCAATGTAGACTTAGTGTAGTTATCTTGCTTGTTAGGTGGTGCACCTTTCTTCTCTTCTTTCATATTTATACCCTTGAGCCTATAGTGAAACCATCTTTTTGCCTTGACAACTATCTCGATACTTTCCTCTCTAGTGCAAACCCTAATGCCTTCTACTAGTTAACTACCTATTGTGACATGCTATCAGAGAGAGGTTTCTCCTAGGACCTGTCTCATAGGGCCCACCACCACGCTTCCGCTCATGGGCCTCTCTGCTGCCCGTCGCACGCCCGGGGCGCGCGTCAGTTTTCTGCCCGCCGCGCGCCCCGAGCGCGCGTCGATTTTCTGCTCGTCGCGCGCCTCGGGCGTGCGGCGATTTTGCGCGACGGCTTCTGCCCTGCCGTGCGCGGCCCGTACGACCCACGCGCTGCCTGTGCAGCCCGTGCCAGGGCCGCGCGCGGCCCGTACAGCCTGCGCCAGGCCATCGCGCACCTGCCCTGCTGTGCATGCGCCTGCACTGCCCCTGCTGTAGCCCGCGCAGCTCCTACCCCGCCCCCCCCCCGCCCCCCCTTCTCCTCCATCCCCCTGCTGCGCGTGCAGCAGTGGGGGGGAGGGTATGGGGGTGGCGGGTGTGAGTGATCTGCTGCCGCCCCTCCTCCTCTCTCTCCCACTGCTGCAGCTACCGCTAAAGGGGGGGGAGGGTGTGGGGGAGACGAGGTCATGGTGCTAGGGATGTCGAGGGGTGTGAACGGGAGTTTTGGGACAATGGGGGAGGTTGAAGGGGGGTGGCCGCCGTGAAGTCAGCAGCTCCAGACGCCCGTGAGACCGTTGCGTCAGTCGCCCGTGAGCCCGTCGCTCCAGTCGCCCGTGAGCCCGTTGCTCCAGTCGCCCGTGAGTCAGTTACTCCTGCCGCTCGTCTAGCCGCAGAGTCAGTTACTCCAGTTGCCCGTGTGCCAGTTGCTCCAGTTGCCAGTGTGCCAGTTGCTCCAGTTGCCCGTGTGCCAGTTGCTCCAGTTGCGCCGTGTGCCAGCAGCTTCAGCTGCCGCCCACCACCTCCTGGCCTCTCATAGTCCCTCCTCCTCCTCACTTGCCCTCTCCGTCTGCTGCGCTCTGCTTGGTGTACCCCTTCCGGGGGTGTTTCTGCACATGGTTCTTCACTGCAGGCAGTTAGGGGGTGTGTCAGAATGTAATTGTATACATTACTTTATAACTGCCTGCAATGTAGACTTAGTGTAGTTATCTTGCTTGTTAGGTGGTGCACCTTTCTTCTCTTCTTTCATATTTGTACCCTTGAGCCTATAGTGAAACCATCTTTTTTGCCTTGACAACTATCTCGATACTTTCCTCTCTAGTGCAAACCCTAATGCCTTCTACTACTTAACTACCTATTGTGACACCAGCCGGACTACTTCAACGACGGGACCGGCCGGGTGTGCAAGCCGCTGAAGAGCCTGTACGGCCTGAAGCAGTCGCCGCTGCTGTGGTACTTGGCGCTCAACGATGTCCTGGTCGGCGCCGGGTGGAAGAAGAGCCAGGTCGACGAAGCTCTGTACTTCAAGGTCGGCGATGACGGAGTGGCCTGCTGGGTGCTGGTCTACGTCGACGACCTGCCCGCCGCCAGCAGCAGCGCCGAGATGCTGAAGGAGCTAAAGGAGCTGCAGGAAGCCGCCTTCGAGCTGCGTGAGATCTCGCCGGTACAGAAGTACCTCGGGCTGGAGATCGTCCGCGACAGGTCGGCGGGGAAGCTGTGGCTGCACCAGCACGGCTACGCCGACAAGCTGCGTAGGCGCTTCATCGACGAGGAGCAGACCGGGCGGACTCCGAAGACGCCGGTCTCGGTCGACGCCTACGCCGAGCTCACCTTCGACGACGACGAGGCGCAGGAACGCCAGGAGGAGGAGTACCGGCAGAAGGTCGGCTCGCTGCAGTT